TCTATGAATGCACTATAATAGGCCTATATGTAGGCTAAATGGGTAGGACATAATTTGTTAGCGAGTGGCTGTCTGAACAGTACAGTGGTAACGCGCTGGACTCCCGATTGAGATGCACACACATGTTAAATAGGCTATATTAAAAATCGCAATTTTGATTTTATAATATTAAGTTAACTGTACAGAAATATTTATAAACATTTTTTGTTGATATTTGAATTATAATAGGCCTATATATCATGATAGTTTTGTTTACTGCTTTTTGTAAAATAATAACAAACCTGAGCACGAAAAATACCTTTAAATTAAATTATTAATCTGTAATTAATTATACTTACATTAAAATCAGAAGCAGTTTTTCTTAATGACTCATTATGATTAATAACTCTATCAGCCGCCTGCTCAAACACTTTTGTTGACACAGTTCCTCTATCAGTATTTCTAATATACGTGCGAACCATAATTGCAATTGATCTGTAAAAAAATGTAATTCATTAATATTCCATGTGCATTACACCTTTTTGATGAACTTTGGGGCATGTTGTTACAGCATGTAACAACTTGCCCCATATCGACATGGAGTATAACAATGTCTCCATACTAATTCATTGTCAAACAACATAACTCAATGTTATCGTATATTAAGAGGTATTAACTGTCGAAGTCTATAACTAATAAGAACAGTATCAAAACACAGTATATAAAGAGTAAACAGATATTTCCTAGACATGTTTTTTTAGTTTAGATATGCAAAAACAGAAAATGTACATAACTTTTTTATTTCGTGACTGATCTTATTCATGCCACCATTAAAACAAAGCTTGCGCAACACATGTTCGATGGTCCGTGAACTATCGCCGTCTATTTATCTCAACAAGAGCTAGAGGCACTGTATCAACTTGCCCCTGTAACAACTAGCCCCGGTCTCCCCTATATTTGTCCCCTGGTAGATCAACGGAAAGTATACTGAGTTACAGCGCTAAAATCCGGGATTAGCTTCCCTGTGGTGGACTGAACGCACGTAGTCCATTGTATAGCTTTTCGCTAAAACAACAACAACAATTGACTCATCTTTTTTACAGAAAATTGGGCGTGGTTTAATACGTAGCATTTCCAGACCGTTAGTCCTAAGATTCATGGGTCGCGACCTGCTGCCACAGAACGTGCCCCGCACTTTAGAGCCTTGAGTGCTACCAAATTTT